TCTTTCCCAAAAAAAAGCAGCACAGACATACCGAGCACGACCCTCAGTTGTGTTGCCACAACAACAAGCATATTCTGAAATCTCTCTCACGGCGGCCATGTAAGTGGAGCCAAAATATCTTTGTACAAGAGGAATGTTTACGTACCTTTGTCTGGAATCTCCTCGTGAAGGTCTACCTAATGTGGTCAGTGAGTGGATATCAATCAAAGTTTGTATAATTGTATTCCTTGGATTGAGCGGTTGAAGTGCACAAAGGAAAGGGAGAAAAAAAAAAATGTTTGGTCAAAATGTAACTTTCTGATGGCCTTGCCATCAGCGCTGATTGCGGCGGTATATAACAAAGTGACAAGTACAGGTTGTGGTGCCAGTGTTAAGAGGGCTGTCAATCAGTTTGGAGAGTGCAGCAGCTCCTAATGGGCTGCTGATAGTGCCGTTAAAACCCACTAGAAAGCTCAACTTTCCGGAGTCATTTGAGAAAGTGGTGGTTTGTATACGATGTTATATTTTATCATCACTGTGATTAGTTTCATGTTAGTACTTGTGAGGAACAAAAAAAGCCGCAGTGCTTTCAAGGTTGCTGATTCCTCCTTAAAGGCAGTCACCTGGCAAAGTGGCAAGCAGAGCAGGACATTTATCCACTCGAAGAGCGCCACCCTGATGATGTCAGAAACAGATGACTGCAGGACCCCCCCATCCCCGCCAGCTTTGGTCGCTGAGGGCAGGAGAAAAAGTTGGTGGGGTGTTGTGGAGGCGAGATAATTATCAGTATAAATGAAGCCCCGTGAATGATTCGCACTGCTGGGTCCCCTGATCTAGTCTCCAAGGCAACCTCGGCACGCTCATTTGTTTTGTAGATGAGTAATTACATCCAATTAGTGGCCAGTGAAAAAAAGGAGCCTAAGAAAGGCCCATTGTTCTGGATAGATTGTGTGAATATTAATAATGGGACGGTCCGCAGCTCCCTGATATGATCGGTGATACTTATGCAGCTGTGGGCACAATCTGCCCAGTCCCGTCCTGCATAACGGATCAGATAGCCACTGATGAAAATATATGGCTCTGAGAATGGGCCGGCATGTTTGTGCGCGAGTATCTGAGAAGCACTTTTGTCCAGCTGCCTGTGGACAGCCAACAAAACTCGACATTCGCCTTGGCTCTGTGCAGCGATAGAGACTTGCATTTTCTCCAAATATTTGTCGAATTATGGGCTGCATATTTTACAAACAATTTATTTTCTGGATTGAAAAAGCTTAAAGCATATGTAGCACTTTATTATTTGTAATGTATCCGGGGGGTTCATTGGATTTGGGTTCCGCCACATTTGCCGCGGCAGTATTTTGTGTTGTAACAGTGCTTCGGCTCTCAATGACATTCATTTCAGATGACATTATTGGAATAAGATTGTTTTGTTGAACTTTTAGGAGACATAGAGTCACAGTTGAAAGTTTGGAGTCACATTCTGATTAAATAGCAGGAGGAAGCTTAGAAACACATTTGGGATTGAATCGATTAGTTGCCTTCGTGTTTAGGTTAAAAGTCAGCAGTCGTCCCCCTCAACAAATTTACAGAGGACTTGCCACTCAACTGTCTGTAGGGCAGTGAAATGTTGGTCCAAAACGGACATGCAGTCTTGACACATTGGCGTGGGCCAGAGTAACCCCCCCCCCCCCACACACACACACACACACAAAAAAGGTTGTGGGTTATTATATTATACATATATATGATGTGGGAATTTCTCCATTGTGAGACAAATAAAGGTTTTCTTATCTTATCTTATCTTATCTTATAATAGCGGTTAGCAACGCTAGCTTCTGCTATCCTGATCGCCGCTGGTCTTGAAATATGCATATCCACAGGACTAGTAGCGATGAACAAGGGCAGCAATGCCAGGTGAAGCTCACTCTTTATTGCCAAAATGTTATGTCCAATGCGTAAACAACAAGTGTGTGATACCAGGAGCTCATTCTCCACACAAGTTGTAGCATACACTGTGTGAGGCTTTACGACACTGTCGCAATGCTAGTCGCAGTACGGCTATGCTATGCTAGGTGTGTGGAAATATTCAACCAAAAATTACACCGGTAGTCGCAGTCGCTAAAAAAATATATCCAAGTCTGTTCTCAGATACAATAAAAGCACAAATGAGAAGAAGTGCTTGATTTATTTTTTGGGGGGGCAGTCTACAATGTCCCATTTTATAGCACTACGAAATGGAACACAAGATGTTGCTCGTTGAAGAGAGTAGTATGTGGCCCCCTAATTAAAAACTCATTCTGCGTATGCCTTGATGTAAAAACGGTCCGTAGTGCAGCATGTTGGTCCCCCAAAAGTTGTCCATTTAACTATTTGGACGTGTATAACAATAAAACTGTTAACATATGTGCTGCCAATACAATACATTATAAATATCCACAGCGGGATCTCCCCCCCCCCCCCACACACACACACACACACACACAAAAAAGGTTGTGGGTTATTATATTATACATATATATGATGTGGGAATTTCTCCATTGTGAGACAAATAAAGGTTTTCTTATCTTATCTTATCTTATCTTATCTTATAATAGCGGTTAGCAACGCTAGCTTCTGCTATCCTGATCGCCGCTGGTCTTGAAATATGCATATCCACAGGACTAGTAGCGATGAACAAGGGCAGCAATGCCAGGTGAAGCTCACTCTTTATTGCCAAAATGTTATGTCCAATGCGTAAACAACAAGTGTGTGATACCAGGAGCTCATTCTCCACACAAGTTGTAGCATACACTGTGTGAGGCTTTACGACACTGTCGCAATGCTAGTCGCAGTACGGCTATGCTATGCTAGGTGTGTGGAAATATTCAACCAAAAATTACACCGGTAGTCGCAGTCGCTAAAAAAATATATCCAAGTCTGTTCTCAGATACAATAAAAGCACAAATGAGAAGAAGTGCTTGATTTATTTTTTGGGGGGGCAGTCTACAATGTCCCATTTTATAGCACTACGAAATGGAACACAAGATGTTGCTCGTTGAAGAGAGTAGTATGTGGCCCCCTAATTAAAAACTCATTCTGCGTATGCCTTGATGTAAAAACGGTCCGTAGTGCAGCATGTTGGTCCCCCAAAAGTTGTCCATTTAACTATTTGGACGTGTATAACAATAAAACTGTTAACATATGTGCTGCCAATACAATACATTATAAATATCCACAGCTGACAGCAACACAGTTTCTCAAGTTTGGCGTTGAGCTATTGGAGTCTGAAATGTCCTCATTTGTGGTGCAGACGACAGCTCATTATGAAACACATTTTTCGTTCACTGAAATGTTAACATGATCTTAATGTGAGGCCAGGGGCTTTCTTCTTCTTGAAATTGAGAGTTTTGAGCTGGTGTATGTTACCTTTCTTCGGCCACACTTCACGGAAAAAAAAGACTCTCGCAAGCCGGCAAACTCTGCATGCAGTCATGCGACTGTCAGGCTCTGATTGGTGGAATGGAGTCAAACGTCACAAGCAAATACATTTGCTGGGTGAAAAGCGCAGGAACAGGATCTCTCGCAGGCACACCAAGTTGCAACGGAATGCAGCTTAACGTAATGGAGTAAAAGTACCATTTAATCTTACTGTGTATGATTAAGTAAAAGGCAAAAGTATGTTGAGTCAAAACTACTCCGGAAATAGTTTTTTTAAATGTAAGAGGATAAATGTAGCATGCTCGTACCCATCTCTGATGAAGATGAATTTTGCACATGCGTGGATGTGAAAAGAAGAAGGCCTTTGGACATTTGTTATTCCCCATAAATTCCAACTAACACAGTTAGTTATATTGCCGAATATTTCACCCTCCATTAAAATGACTCCATTGATCCAGTTTCCCCTCATTAGCAAGGCCAATCAATTTTCTGTGACATTTTTCTAAGTGAACTAAATGTAATGATTGGCTCTTGAGCTTTGTTCAATGTGTCAGGCATTATGTGACGTACGTGGGAAGCCTGCTGCATTTGGATCCTATAATTTGACGAGTGGGCCGACAGCCCACAAGTGGCGAGATCACAGTGCTAGAAAGCACTGGCGGGAGAAACATGGCCGCCGCTCGCGTTCCATTTGGCACAAGTGGACTTTATCATTCCGAGTGGGGAGAGGTGAAGTGGCTTTGAATGGCTGTGTGCTCCGCGGGCCAAATAAAAACACAAACACAAGCGCCGAGGGTGGAAGGTGTGCTGAAGGGAGAAGTTGGTGTCACCAGGCTGAGTCCCCTCCTGAGTAGATTAAGGCTGCTATCTAAAAAGAGGCGTGAGGAGGACGTTTGGTTTAATTGCCCTGTTTCCACGAGCAGCTTGTCTCCGATTAAGAGGACATGCAATAAATGTCAGCACGACTTACTGCTGAATGACATTTTCTAAACTGTTGATAATCCACCATCTGTGTCAGTGGGAACGTTATTAGAAGGAGGGGGACATGTTTGGATCACATTGGGAACGTGCCGCCATCAGTCAACACCGATGTATTTTGTATCTCATTCACATACGCACCTTATCATCTCTTGCTCGCTGGTCAAAGAGGAGCCATTAAATTAATTATTGATTGGAGGCGCTTTGTGTTTCTTTCAGTCAGGCTTCCTTCAGGTATGTCAACAGAGAATTGTCCGTTTGAAATGAGAATGTATTGACCTGTGTTTTAATGATTCCTCCGTTTCATCTCACTCCGTAATGATTGCACAAAAACACACACGCAACCTTGGTCAATTCTGCAAAGGGGGAAAAAAAAAAAACGATAAATAAAAAAATAAATTGCCCGGCCTAGGAGAGCAATAATTGCGGAGACGTTTAGGATGCGGCTGAGCGTGTCAAACGTGGGCTACGGCGGGGGAGGGTGAGTCGGGGGGTCGGGGGAGGGCATTGACAAACACAAGGAGAAGCTGCTCGACACTTCTGGACATTGACTTTGACATTGACAAAGTTGATTTTCCACAATGATGGAGTCCCCTCCCCCTCCCCACCTTTACTGTATCTCCCAGGCCTCCCCGATTATGGGTTTTACTCCGCACCCGGTGACCAAAGGGGGGGGCCCTGCTCCTTTGCTGACTATGGCTCCCTGGGGCCCCAGGCGGCTCAGATGCTGCACAGTGAGCATGCCACCTCCGCCTGCAACTCCCCCCTCCAGCACCTACACAGCCCGGATCAGTTTAAGAACCCAGGTTTGTATCTGTCTTAACCATTTTTCGGACTTTTCACTTTGATTCATGACATTACGCCATGCGGATCTTTCACTTTCTGCATTGTTTGGTTTGGTTTTATTTTCTCTTGCGCTTGTCAAGAAAAAAAAAATCCTCCCTGCCCTATTTAGAGAAACAAATAGAAAAATCAACCTGTCTTGCTGAGAAAATGCATGTTCCCTTTTTTTTGGGGGGGGGGGGGCTTCTTTTCGATTCTGTTTCCTTGGGAAGTTGTCTTGCAGCCCCTGCTTGCACCCGAGGGCCTTGCACCGACTGTTATTCATTACTTGCATGTGAGCGGTACGACTAGTGATGAGGTTATGAATGACACTTGGCTCTAAGCATATTTCAGATTTTCCTGAATAGGGAAAAAAATGCATATATTGTTTCTTTCAAGTGATTATTATAAAAATTTTTTTTTTTTATATCTGTGTTTCTGAATAATTGTTGAATCAGTAAATGAGCAACATTTTGCAAGACCCTACTTTTCACAAATTGTCCCTTATTTAAGATCTACGCATTCACATTAAGTACACAGCACATGGCCATTTCACTTTCTAGATCACAGAGTCAAACTCAAGGCCCAGGGGGGCAGATCCTGCCCACCATATCAATTTACCACAAAAGCAGATGGGCCTCTTCATGTTATTGCTAAATAATAGTTCTTTGATCCTGGCAGAAAATCTGGACCTAATTTGATCATTTCTCACTGCCACTTGTGATTTCAAAATCGATTTGTTATTAAAAAATATATTTTGACTCAACCCACCAGCCAAATGCAATCTGATGAGGTGATTACATATTCATCTGATTTTCATTGTTCAATGAGCAGTCGGAGGAAAATCCGGACCACAAAGTGGCCCGTGAGAAAAATGAATTTGTCCCCCCGGCTGGACTCAATGTGTACCGCCGGTAAATGTGTTGTAAGCTTTAGCTCCTTTGAGGGAGCATATTTTCAGATCGCCATACAAAACAACAATGCACTAGTCATACAGCGCTAGCCTACATTGTCTGTCGACGCTCCCGTCCTTCCCGGCATGACCGCCCACCAGCACCTATTGTTAAGTAAGGGAATGTGATTTAGTGGAGTGCTGCGTCTCATTGCAGGTGACAGTGTTGACCTACACGCAGTGCTTAGCTGCCACGTCTCCAGAGACTCTCATGCACTCGCTCGCCTTGTTACTGGCAAAAGACTCAAAGTTGTGACTTAGCTCGTAGAAGCGAACGGAGGAAGAAAGCCGAGGAGGGAAGTGTGGCCTTCGCAGGCTGGAGGACAAGTCCCAACCTTCCTTTAATAGCACGTTGGCCAGCTGCCTCAGGCAGATGTTGGCATTTACCGCAGCCGCTCGCGACAACATGTAGCTCAGCAAACAGCAGAAACACAGACAGGCTCAACTCCACGGATGTGATTGGAGTTCTAAACCCGCGCTGCTTCGTATTATACAGAACACGTATTATCACAGCATCCTGTGCTCCCGAGAGACTTTTTTTTTTTTTTTTAATATGCATGAGCTATTCTTTCAACTGTGCAGATTACTTTCATCGAATAAACATATTGTACAGTATGGGTGTAATTTTACATTGGGTTGTGCAGATTCATAGAAAGGCAGATTGTGACGTAGGAAAGGGCTTCGTAAGGTCACAAAACCACTGTGGAATGCGCAGCTTCTTTTCAGGCTTGCGGAGACCAGAGAGCAGGCAGTCGACGTCGCTTGGTCACATGAATAGATTTTATACTGTACGTGTGCCTAGAAATATGAATTCCTCAAACCGTCTCCACAGTGCAGACTGCCTTGCCTATTTGCGGATTTTTTTTGGTCTTCATGCAAAGGAGAGTTCTTTGAAATGTTTTCTCCATCATAAATAATTTTCATTCGTTCTAGTCGACACACAACTTGCTGCTCACATTCGGAAATATATATTCTTAAATAATGTTTTTAATGAAAGAAGAGAAGATTGTGCAACTGCATTACTTAGATAATGAGCAGGGCTCCAGATTGCGACCAGTAAATTTGCTGACTTTTTTTTTATTGTTTTTTTAATAATTCTTGAATGTATTTCTGCTGCTAACAAACTCCCGCTCCACACTTCAGCCCATTTATTAGTAAGTTTGTAAAAATGCATGGAAATGCGAATATTTACACGAGTTAGTTGATTTACAGTCCGAAGCAATTTGAAGTAAGAGTTGCATTTAGTCTTGTTGCTTATACTGAGAATGGAAGTATGTCCTGCTGCTAAATGGTATTTTCCCGACACATAGACAGATTCCACAGAGCTTCTGAGCAAAAGATCAAGCTTTTTCTGTGGGGATTTTTTTTTTTTTGAAAGCAGCTTTTTGCCATCTAAGAATGAGGGCCGGACAAAGGGGCATGTTGGAGCAGACAGCGGAGGAGATTGCTGTGAAGAGATTCGCATTTTTCTCTCGCCCCGGCTGTCTTTTTCTCACCGGCCTTTCCTTCCTATAGTCCCACGGTTACGAGCCTTTGGTATTCGTCCGGATTGTCGAAAGACGTTTCATTAGTCTGACTTGCTCTTACTTGCAGGGCAAAGGTGGTAAGTCACGTACAGTGTTTCTTTTCCTGGTCCCTTGAGTTAGGACCCGCAAATGAACATGGGTCAAGCTTTCATATTTCCCCCGATGCCTTCTATCTCTTGTCTCACGCACGTATTAGCCACGGACGTATTGCGCAGGACTGACAAGTTGGCACGCGGCTCAAAGTGCATTCAGAAGTAATGGCCGCCATGTTTTTGTAGACGGTACTTGCCGTGAGCGGGGTCGTACAATAAAACAAAAAGGCAATAAACTCTGTCGCACAAATGGGAAACAAAACTATCCAACGGTGCGTCACTCTCCTCGTTGACAAGTATCCCTTCGCATTATGCATGTCGGCATTTGCACAGCAAGCCTACATGAAGTTGCTACGCATGGCGGGAGTTTTGGAGCAGCGTGCTTGCTTTCGTGTTGTGCATGATACGAAGTTGATGTCGATGCATGTTGAGCCAACGTGAATAGAACGTCATACTGGATTCACGATTCATTTGACTTCCATTGAGCCAAAAATCACAAAATCCGGCACCACTTGGCCGTCACGTGTTTCTCAGGAATCCAGTGATGAGCTCTATTAGTTGAATGGAACCGAAGTAGCTCACGGGTGGTCGTGAGGTTGTTCTGAGCTGCCCTGCTCCACGTTGTGTTTGCATGCAGGCGCCAACCCGTCAAGGCCCGGAGCTTTCCACGGAGCCAATAGCCCAGGGCCCGTGGCCGACCTTTACGGACCCAGCACCCAAGATTCAGCCGTGGGCAACTACATCAGCGCCGCCAGCCCTCAGCCCGGTTCCGGGTTCGGCCCCAGCATCACCGTGAGTAGTCGAGCTTCACCGATGTCTGACTGCACCTCGCTGTCAGTTGCATTCAACAGTCTGCTCGTTTTACCGCACATCTTATTGCAAACTACAGTACTCAACTTGTGTCAGTTACCTCAGTAAGGCTCCAGTCATGAGGTTTGGGTTTTGTGTCCCGACCTAATTTCACTCAGGTGACAATTCTGTCGGCTGTGTGCACATGGGGATGAACCTAATTTCAGTTTTGAAAGTTACTTGTGTCAAATGCTAATGTTTATTTCCCACAGCAGTAGCTGCGATTACCTCACTTTACCCCGCGCGTCACGCTAGGAACAAAATGTGTGTTATTTTTAGAAAGCCAGCTGTCCCAAGGCTTGAGTTCACCTCACCACCAAACAGATTCTCGTCTCCGTCAGTGTCCTCGTCCGATTGCCGCTGCTTGATTCACCTCCTGTTTCACTGACCGGTTAGCCGCTGCTTGCTACGTCAACTCGTAAATGTAAAAAGAGCGGGGCGGGTAGAGGTGGTATTAACAAAGACGGGTTGATGACAACTAGATGACTTTCTCAATCCGAGGCAGCTTATTTATTGATTTACACGGCACATTTCTGACACAAGGCACCTCAGAGTGCTTCGCGCAAGCAAAGACACAACGCCGAAAACCATTCACGACGGCAACAGAGAACAGCAACATTCAGAAGCCAAGCAGAGAAAATGAAAAGTCGCTGATGAAAAGAACATTGCAACATTTGAGCAAAACAAGTTCTCTCTTTAGCAGCTCTGAAGGGGAAACACATGCGTTAAAATATTCTTCGACACTTACTGTTGATTGGCAACCTCACTCGGGGCAGTTTATCTGTGACCACCTCTCAATGCAGTTTTTACATGCACACGTGCTGAATAAATAAATGAAGATTACAGACGGCGAGTTGTGTTGCAATAACGATTGGCAAGTAGATGGCCCAATGATTGCATTCACAATGACCGAAAAGCTGGCAAATGATGGTCCTGTCAGACCAATCAGGGGCCGTGTGACTCGGACAGCAAAACGGGGCGCAATGTCTCCGACAAATGCATGCCGACGGAGGTAATGAAATCACCAATGATTTAAGAATTCAAATTCCGGCCCATTTGCAAAACTATGGCGTACGAAGGTAGAAGAATACTCTCGTCTACCTTTATGTTTAAGATGAAGATCATTCGCACGGTGACATTGGCCGCCCCTTTTGATTCTCATTGAGTGATTTAGAGCAACTGGGATCAATTTGAAGCGAGGCCTCCAAGCTCACATTTACACAACTGGTCAAAGTAGTCGGTCGTCATTTTTATTTATGATGTGTTTCAAAAAAAAAAAAAAAAGGGCTCTTACATTCTTGCGACTATTCAACCAAGCGACCCCAATGAATGGACGCCTGTTTACACTCCTGTCCGGACCTGGACGGTTCAGCGAACTGTTTGTTTGCTTGGCACTTCTCTTCTCGTGGACCTCACTGAATATTTCATTGGGGTTTTTATGGCCCTAGAATGGTGAAGCATGGCTGAACTGCTGGACTGGCACTCAGCTTGTTGGGGCATGTGTTGAATAGTTCTACACGATTAAACTGACTGAGGGAAAAGAGGCTATGCAAATAACACCTGCTTTGTGGGAATAAAAAGTAATTAGCATATGGGTTGAGGTGGCATAATGAAGAGCCCATTAGTCCTGCAGGACTACAGAGTGAGGCAAACTTAGTACTACACATCATTAAACTGAGTTGAGCAAAGCATAAAGCGGCGGTCGAACACATGCATGTGTGGCATGTATCACTTTACTGGGCTTTGGTGCGTGTGAGAGCGTGTTGCCTGATTTGCATCGAAACAAGCACAAATAATTGCTTTTATGGTATCCAAAAAAAAAAAAACAGAAACCATGTTTTTCATTTGCTTCAAAAGCGAAACCTTTGTTAATTGTTTTAGGTCCACTGGCTAGCAGCCATCATTGGCTGGCATCAGTTTAGGGAGCAAAATATTTGTTAGGAAGGATCAGGTTGGCTCGTTTACAAGGCAGATTTACCAGCTGTGAGTTTACCAACGGATGTGGACCGGTCGTATCCTTTTCCAGTTGTTGCTTCACTGGTTACTATTTACAATATAGTTGAAAGCATGTGTAAATAAGCAGCTCCATTTCCATATTTGAAGTCATAAATAGTTGATTTGGTGGGGGTTTTTTTTTTTGTTTTGTTTTGTTTTGTTCTGGGATGGTGAAACCACTGTGGTAAATTTACATTTGACGGTGGTAAAGAGACATTGGGCCATGAATAAAAACACCACCAGAAGCTAAAGAAGCCAAGCCAATCATTCGATGTGCTCTAGATTTATATCCATCCATCCGTTTTCTGTCACGCACTCACACACACGTGTGAGCAGGAATGAAGCTCAGTTTAAAAAGATCAAAGTTGAACCCGACTCCAATCGGGAGAAGCCGTATAGAGACGGATGGGGTGCATGGATGGATCATTTCAGTTTTTTTTCCACAGACAATGTCCTATATTACCCCACACGGGTGTTTCCTGGCCGGTCCATCAATATTATCAACCACTGAGTAGTTGATCTAGGGTTGCCATGGCAACCGTGCCGTTCTATTAATTTCGAGCTAAGCAGTACCATTCCGATCATTTTTTTCAGACTATTATTGTCAGGTAGAATCTGAATTTATTTGTGCCTTTTAGCAAGATTCCGGCTTCCCTCGGTGGATGATGCCAATATGCCAGCGTTATTAAATCATCTCGTCACAATCAGCCGGCAATGCTGAATGCTGATGGGGCCTCGTCATCAGCGTTGCACACGACTTCAGAGTCACGCTCGGCTGCTTTTATTAATCCCTTTAGCCACTATCAAAATAGCGCCGGCAAAGAAGCCGTAATGATTTTAACTGTTTTTATATGCAAGACAATTAGAACGCAATTAGTTGATTGAGGCGATAACGGCGGCTAATCACAGCTGAAAGGGCTGCTCCTTTCTTTGCTCGTGATTTCCACCAACCTGTCAGCAGCCACTCTCACGCTAGCCTGATTAGCTGAGCGGCGCCATGATCGCATTCTGGGATGTTTTATGATCTCGCCGTGCGCTTATATCTAATCGCTCGTGTGTGTGTGTGTGTGTGTGTGTGTGTGTGTGTGTGTGTGTGTGTGTGTGTGTGTGTGTGGGTGTGTGTGTGAGTATCTTAGCATCATATATGTATGAGATAGTGTCAATATAACATGCTTCATTTGAGAGAGAGTGCACTTTCTCCAACATAATAATAATAATAATCATCATATCGTACTCAAATAATCTTAATAAATGCAGCATGTTCCCAAAAAATTGGCATTATTTTCTAGTTTAGCAGCATTGTCGATTCTCAAGATATGCAAAAATTAAGTTGATCTTAAAACTTGTAGGTGTTTCAAAAAGAGGTGATTAAAGTCCTTTTCTCTGCTTCTGTTTGTTAGTCTTATGCCGAGTTGTCAGCAAATCAGGAATGAGTATTTTAGTACTTTCCTGAGGTGGATATTCCGCTGTAGTTTCTACAAAGCTCCTGTAGCTCAAGGTAACAGGTCAGTGTGAGGCCGCGGCTGTGTGCCGGCAGTCGATTGAGTCCGCCCACGAGTGCTCGGTAAATGATTGACACCTTGATTTCTTAAAAGTCAAATTAGTGGTTCAAAATTGGGGCCAGAGATGGCGGGGGGGTTCACAGATTGTTTGACTACATTTTACTTCAGCACTGTCAGATTTATACTGCCTTTTTTTCACAAATGTGACTAAAAATTCTTTCTTTGAAAATTGCAGGCACCCCTTTAAGTTAAATGTTAGTTTGATGTTTCACGTTTTCTTTCTTTTAAGGTGAAGAATGACATATAATAGCAACAATGTTATGGTTTTTTTGGGTGTTAAAATATGTGAACAAAGTCACACAAGGTGTTGAAAAAAACTGGATAGCAGAAAATCTATGAGGACGACAAAGAGTAAAATGTGTCAAGTGTTCACATTGGTTCAAAGATTTAAATCTGTTCGCATATGTTGTTCATAAATGAAACTTCTGTTTTTAACATGAAGCCAATTTTTGAAGAAACATTTCTCAGACTTGTTGTCACTCAGTTACTCAGATATGAAACGATGTCCATTTTTGGGAACAAACTGTGAATCCTGTACGTGACGGGCGTTTAGCTGCTGAGCTAGCTAGCGGAGTGTCAGTTGAACATCAAATGAAAAAGTTGATATGACTCACTTTTCTTTCCTTGAAATGCATACTGACAACAGCACTAACTGTACACTTTTAGGGCCCCTTGATTGCGACAGCTTTTACAAATGGATACCATTGAACAGGTGGCCTGCTTGCCATCTCATCAGAGGTATTGCATTTTATTTACTGTGCTTTTTTTTTTTTTAAATCAGTCCTCTCTTTATTTCATGTCCGTGACATCCGTCGTCCTCCACATTGCAGAGCGGCAAGTAAAGCCTGAGTGTGACTCAGTGGCCACAGCAGCGCCAAGATGTACACTTCAGCTCAATTTGGCGCCGTTTTCAATTTGTCGTCGTCATAGTTGATTGTCTAAAATCTTTTGAATTTAGTCATCTGAATTATTTCAGCGTGGTTTTACTACACTGCATTTTTTTTTCAATCGACTAAATCTACAATATAAAGCAGGAACTGTAAGGTGTCTTCAAAGAGGTGATTTTTTTTTTTCTAAAAGTGGATGAAACTTTTAAATTCCTCAGCCTTTTTTTATTTGAAACACAATGATCTTCATTTATGATGAAATTGACACGACTGCATGAGAATTGTCGTCAACCAAATTTCTGTTCTCATTTAAAATTTATTCAATTTTCATACAGTAGGCACACTTCATTACAGCTATACCTGCTGTTTTTAATTGTTCTATATGTATGGCCAAGAAGTGTTTTTCATGTAAATATTCAATGTAATAAGTTGGTGTCACTATGAACTATGTTCATATGAATTTTAGAGACCCATAAAGGGTATATCTGATATATTCTATGCTGATCCTGAAATTTCACTCAAAAGCCGACCGTCCCTCATTTATCGTGCGTTAACTTACAGTTTGGCTCCGTTATTTTTACACCCGCCACCACTTCGACCAAAGCTCACGTAAAGAGTGACATTCGAGAGCTAAGTGAAGTGTACGCCTTGGCGGAAACGAGACTAACCGAGCTCAATCGTAGCATCTCAGGAAGGATGGCATCGGTGATAGTCTTGTGTTCGAGGTTGCTCGTGGGCCTTCGCCGACACTCACACTGCGCTGCAGCTCTGCCAAGTTACTTTCTTCATCACATTGTCAACATTTTTCGGGAAGCAGTTTTGGACACTCAGCTCTGCTTTTTCAAGGACAGAGCCTCCATCTCACCTTCAACTTCCATGACCAAAATAGACTCATCATAAACAATCGGAAAAAGACAGTCAATGTCTGTTTTCATGTCACATTTGCAGCATGCGCACATTTCATCCTGCATGAAGTCCCGTTGACTGTCAGCCTGATCGTTTATTTGGTTTTCATGGTTTTCGGGTGACTGCCGCTCTCACCCCGCTCTCCTCTCTCCAGCAGAGTTTGTCTGGCGGCCAAGGAAAGACGGGACGAAGTTTCTAATTGGCTTTGTGTGCAGGTGGCGCTACTGAGGCACAGCGGACAGGCTAAAAGAGCCAGCAAGTGGTAACCATATGAAGAAGAAAAGAAACTGTTGAGTCATCTCAGAAAAAAAAGAACAACTGCTGTACTATATTCCAAACCTCCTATAACGTCAGCGCCCTGGTTTGGTTTGATGTTTCACGTCTCTTTCCGCCTCTTTTCTTTCCTGTGCGTTGGTTGCTCTGATTTTAGCACCACACGACGTTTGTGTCATTTTGTTTGTTTTCTTTTTCTGCTTTTTAAACTGTGGTCGACATGGCAGAAAAAAAAAGAAGAAATCAGCTTGTAATGTCTTTGGTAGCTTGAAGGTGAAATGAAGTATTCAAGCTCAACACACACACACACACACACACACACACACACACACACACACACAAAAAAACAGTCGCTGTGCAAGATTCTTAGATTTGAAAAAAAAATAAATTTTAGGGCAAATCGGCTACGATGGTATCAAAATAATAAATCTGAGTAGCGCTTTTATTTCTTGTGATGTCTCATTGATAACCATGATGACCTATTTTTGGGCAATACAAAGAGGACTCCAATATTTTTATGGTCCTTTTTTTTATAAGTGTTGTTTTTGTTGTTTAGAAATATATAAATATTGTGTGTGTGTGTATGTGTGTGTGTACATATATATATATATATATTGGCAGAACATTACTGTTCAAAAAAAAACATTAAAACTCTATTCGTATTTTTTAGGCTTTGTGTGGGGGGGGGTATGTATGGGTGTATTTTTATTGATTTTTTTTTTTTTTTTTTTTTTTTGT